CCCACGACGGAGGGATGATTTTTACCGTACTTCTTTCAAAATGGATTCGACATCAAAAGTATTTATGGAAATTCAATTTGGACATCCACGGATTGCAGTCAGTGACATCTGTTCGACCCTGTTTCAGGCAATAGTAAAGCTGGTAGAGATTTCGGAAAACTTTTTCTTTTAGGACCTCCTCCATGCATTTTTGAAAAGGGACCCTTTTTCTCGGCTTCTTCAGTGGAACAGTAGGCTACAGAGATGGTGAACTTAAGTGACACTAGAAAATGTCCAGCGTCACCTAATGAAGAGTTCTCCTCTGGGTTACAATACACCATACCTGGGCTGAAAAATGTGCCAAACGTGGTGGGATTGAACGGATTCGAAGAAACCGTGAAAGGAACTATACTCTTCATATATGAACTAGCAAAGGAAGGAGGACAGATGTTTATGATGGACGGGTGTGAATCAGAGTTTGTCGAAATTGTCGAAAACTGCCTTCCACTGTTGCCTTGAGCCGTGACTAGTTGTTTACTTAAGTGACACTAGAAAATGTCCAGCGGCATTACTCACAAGTAAGTTGTTTGTACTTCCAACCTAGGAGACCCTTAAGGTAGTGCACCCTCTACAACACCGTCGATACTCGTCCGCTGTGGGTGTGGCAATGTCTGGCACTTATTGGGACCCAACCAGAGCGTTTCTCGATATTACATAGGCACATATGGTATCAGAGGGACCTCGAATCCGTCCTATGAATGGATTTCAGGAACCGTTAATTCCGTGAACTGTGCCTTTAAAAAATTCCATGATTTTTTTGCTACATAGGAAATGGGTAAGCTGGATTGGACACTATGGACGGCATCGACCAACTCTGAGCCAGCTACCTTATATGGAACTCTGGGAACCAGTAATCATGCATGAATAGTGAGGGCGGGTATGATTTGACAGAGATCATCCGTCATTTAAGACCTTGTTGACGAATATAGTGTGATTCAAAGGAATGCTTTGATAAACGAGACCTATCTCGACAACGTTCAAGAAAGGTGAAAAGGACTCGATTTTTGGATGATAGGGTCGCGGGGGATTTTTTTCGTTGATGCGCCATGCCTTCAGTTCTAATTCAGAAAATTGGAACGACACATTTCAGTGATTCTCAACATCTAAATGTCCGAGTTCGCATGCATAATTGCGCGCGAGTACAATCCTCAAAGGAAGGAGAACTTTGTCTTGGTTCACAGAGTTTGACTGGCGTCAAGGTAAATGCAGGACCCCCTAACACTGAATAGCTTCTGCCCTTCGTTTCTGCTTTTCGCCCAGTCCATTGAAAGGAATTCGAAGGGATTTTTCTAATTGAGCATCAAGTGACATCACACGATCATCTCACGGTAATATCGTATCTAGTAATAGAAGTGAAAAGAGGTTAGAAAGTTACAGTACAGTAATGCAGTAAAGCTCATTCCAAGGTAAATCCCCTCATGTTTCTTACAGCGAATTAACACACAAAATTAGATTAAAAACTGCAGAAAGAGGGAATGCGATTGAACAGCAATCATGTCGTTCGTTGAAGAGACTGCTTGACAAATGGCGGTGGGATAGAATAACGACTATAAGTTGTGATTTCAACCTTCAGACATGATCAGACAAAGGAATTATGATGGTATACAGTAAGTTTGGATGGCAACCTAATCAGGTTTGGTTAGACTGAAGGGGTAGAGTGAACGAGTGGAAGTAGGAATATGATAGCTAGTCACTTCCGCAACAAGGTCGTTGATCACCTATCGATCAAGTTCCGAGGAAAGGAAAGGTCGTAGCACTGAACCTCTGGAATGCCTCTGCATGACCAGTTTTTGAAAGAAAACTGTTATGAGACTCGAGAATAACTGCTGAAACCGGTCGGTTGAACAGGTGGGAATAGCCAAAGTAAAGATGATGTCAGTAGTTTCTTGGTAAACAGATGTAGCAAGACATGCTTCCTTCCACGACGACCGGTTCATAGGGAAAGGGATGTGGCAGTCGGAGAAGTGAACGATGGGCAGCTGACAAAATTGAGACAAATGAACTACTTGGACTGGAGTTGCTGCATTTGTTTTGCTACACTTAAGGAATCTCGTAGAGCTGAAGAAGAACATCAGAGGAACGCTTCCCAGTTCGTTCCAGGCTTTTGTATAGAAAAATGCCTAGAAGGGTACCACGCATTTGGCTCCTATCCAAATCGTAACAATAAGGTGCGCTTTAGAGTGAGTTGAGTATTCTCTCAGACGAATATGCTAACGATTGAACAGGAAAGGCGAGAGGATTGGTTGGTTTGAACGAGGTTTGGGGGACTTCGTGGGTGGGTGGTAGTGATCCTTTCACTGACACTTCCTAGTACGCTTTCCACATCGCCCTAGAAAGGAGGGCTTGGAAAAAGTGCCCGATTCGGATATCTCATGAGATTTATGGAACAAATCTACATACGCTCACAAAGCTATTTAAATTCTGTGAAGATGCGAATGTGTAGCGCTCTCAGTCACCTCTTCATCTATCTGCAGAAAGGACATAAATGTCGTTCTTATTCTGATATAGTCAATGGAGACTAATTGGAACCCTGTCACTGTTGGATAGTCTGTGGCTGACATCTCGTTGAGGGTGGTCAGAATGAGCTGGATAACTGGAATCTGACGTCTGGGTGAAATGAGAATTGTTGACATCAGAAGGAAAGTTCGTAGCTATGCGAAACACCCAAGCAAGATTGGCGTCGATAGAAGCAAGCTGCAATTCTCAAAGTTAATTAATTCGCAGAATAGGAGATATTGGCATGGGACTGTAAATCTCCCGCTCCCTTAGGAACCCCATCAGCTGTTGCTGTATCGACCCGTTTCACGTTGATTACTGCTCGTTCCCGAGCGGAAACAATTAGTCAAAACAGTCCAGCATTGCCATGGAACAAGATGGAGTGGGTAATGAATAGGCGTCGTTACTTTTCTGGTATGAAAATTAACTGGCAGTTTGGGAAATCATACAGCCAAGTCGATTTGCTTTATTCTCCACCATTTCTAAACAAAAATAAAAATCAATTGTTCTTTGTTTACAGATGAAGATGTATTGCATAGTCAATAAAATAGGCAGCACCAGGCGCTAATGGAAAGAGCTGAGTGTTGGGCGATGATCCCCAGAATGACGTGAAAAGAATTCTGTCTGGGGTTGGGGGACCATTATCAATGTCAATTCAGCGTAGAATTAAGAGCAACAGATTTTAAGGCAAATTCAACGAAGGAAAACGAGCGTTAACCGATTGGCAATTGGCCAAGAAAAGTCTCTGAAGAAGTGACAGAGAGTGAATTTACACGCACCTAACGGAAATAGCACCTAATTAAAAGGTTACATACATACAAATACCATGATGGTAAACAGGCAGTAAACAGCGAGCGACACAGTAAGACTAGACGAACTCTGGTCGAACGGCGTCGTCGTCACTGTCTAAACCACTATACCCGAACTGGAACGCCGGCGGCACAGGAATCCGGTTTCGGTAATGGCGATAGACGAGCAGACCTGAAACAGTTGCTCTATCACAGTAACTATATGATCAAAGGAACTGGGCAGGCAAAAGCATGAGCGCACTTCATTGAATCTTCCCCTTGGGACATCTCCAGCCCTGCCTTTTGTCAACAACTTTGTACATATAGAGTAGTGCGCAAGGGATTCCAAGACAGGATTAGTGAGGGGCCATTGGCATCTCACAACATCTTTAGACATGGACGTAGAAAACGGTAGAAAACAGGATCAAGATAGCGAAATGAACTGGTTTTCTGTGATTGCGCAAGCCACACCAAACATCACTCACCTTCGGTTGCGACCCTTTTGACAAGATCATGAGCTCATCCCCGAAGGCAATCTCATAAAGTCGTCTACTGTTTCTAAAGGGAAGGCACGCTCATCATGGCCCGAAGCACAACTCTCTTCTATCATTTCGAAAGGGTGGAGGGGTGGCGGAGCGGGGGGAGAGTAAGGTGGTACACGCTCTCAACTGGAATCGTTTAGTAGTTGATTCATGGGACAGACTAGAAAACTGTGGTTCCTTAATGTCCTCTCTCATTTAGAGGCGTAGTTCAGGATAATTTTGAGGTAGCCGCGTTTTTATTAGAAAAGCGGAAGTATAGGTTGTTGGGAGTTCATCGGTAGTGAAGAAAGCAAGAGAGTTCGCCATTTGGAGAAAAATATGGTTCCTAAAAGAAGGGAAAGTAGAGGTTGGGTGAGATTAGTATGATGGAAATAACATGGAAAGGGTATCGGACGAGATTCCAGGTGTTGCAATTGCGCAAAGAGCTGACTACATCAAGCCAAACTGTACAGAAATGCCTTTCACGTCGCTATGGGTCATGACAAGTTGTTTGAACTTCCTACATGAATTCCCTTGTGACCGGTACAGCCTCTACAATGCCGATGGAACTCGTCCGAGAGTACACACGGTGCAACCTCTGAGACTTTTTAACTCCCTAACTAAGACTTTTATCGACCCCATAGCGCCAGATATATTATTCAAGGCGACCTCTAACCGATCCTACGGGGAGATTTCAGAAACCCTTTTTATGATGAACTTCGCCTTAAAAGGACCGTCACTAGAAGCAGATACGTCCAAATAAGTGCGAAAAATTAACAGGTCCATTTGAATATGAAGCTCTTGCATTTAGCGGAGTAGTTATGACCGAGTTTCACCGTAATCCTTCTCTCCATTGCCTGCAGTCAATACGTGCTTAAATTTGGACACTTTTCTGGCCAGGGAAATGCCAACTTAATTGGTTTTCTGCACCAAATGTCAGGAAAATGCCAACGCTTCTAATATTACAGAAGGGTGAAAGATAGGGAAAGGGGGAGAGAAGGGCTTGTCCTCAGTTCTTCGGATCCTGCCACTATCACTAATGACTGTACTGCTGACTGAAGTGGCCAGGAAAAAATATCAGGAAAGGAAAATGTCGATATCGAAGTGGCATAGAGCAGAGAGCAGATGACAAGCATTTTTCGATGAAAATTTGCTAAGAAGAAATAGAAAAGTACTCACATGCAGCGGAAACGACTACGAGCAGTATGAGGGTACCCAGTCCCCAACTGCTCGACTTGCACAAATCTTCCTTCAGCTCGAAGAGGTTTTTTCCGGCTCGATTGGGCGGTGAAGCGCAGAGGGTTTTGCCCTAAACATTTGTGAGAATTACTTCAACGAAATTCTCAAACTGGTTTTCCTATCCAATTTGAAATTCTGAAGACAATATTTATGATTTCAAGTGGGTTCCCGCGTCTGAAAGACGCTAACTTAGGAAATCACATCCCTTTTGTTGAAGATTGTCACTTACAAGTATGTACGTCAGGCCATACAATGGGTCAGCTTATAAGAGCAGAGTTCGGAAAGAAAACCCCACCGCAATGAGCGGAAACGTGTTTTTGGACATGAGTGGTGAGTAGGATAGGTCGCCATTTCGTTCGATTTCTCATCAATACTGAACAATCCCAACCCCCGGGAGGAGTCACCCGATGCAATGTATTCCTAGGGATTGGGACCAAAAGGATTTGCGTAAACGTCATGTGAGGCTGTGTACATTCAGCTTCAACCAAGAACAGCTTCTCAAAGCAAAAACACAATGCCCGGAGCAAAAACAGAAATAAACAAAACAAAATAAAACGAGAAAAGTTGAACAATTAAAGTTAAGTCAGCCATTTCTGAGTGTCTTAAAGAAACAGTATAATCATAGGCTTCATACCACATAGAATAGACACATTGGGGAACAACTTGACTGGGGCCGAGTTTAAGAGGGGAGGGGGAAGCTTTCCGAATGCCATTTAGGAACAATGTGTTACACCGTACCACGCAGAAGGAATATAGTATTTCAATTCTGGGGCTTCCACGGTATACAACTCTTCTTCCGATTCCGATAGAACCTCTACCAAAAATTTTGACTCCTAGAATTCCAGCTTTACGGTAACGAACCTACAACCAGAGAAGCAGCTCGGGCTAAAACCGATTTTGCGAAACCTGTAGGAATAAGATTATGCTTCATTTGGGTTCGAGCTTAAGATTTAGGAGGTAGAATGTGGCGCCATCGTGTCGAAAAACAACTTAGTAATGACGTAGCAAGGGCTGAAAGTTTGCCTTCGCGACTTGGAACGTCTACCGCTGCTAAGAAGGTACACAGATGGTTGTGAAAAACAGATTTCAAGGGCAGAAACCGCAAAGTAGACTGCGTTGGAAGCATACGGATACTGTCTCCAGAGCCGAATTTTCCGGATATGCTTTTCTTGTCCGCATTGACGTACTATACAGTATCAACACTTTCGATCCTCAATTGTTTGATCAACATTGCTGCATCGCTGGTTATGCTTTTTGATGATGCACCAGGTGTTCAAATTCCATTTAGCTAAATCAGTATGCAAGGCTCCCCCGAAGTCTGCCGCTTTCAGGATTCTAAATGAAATTTTATCCATCAAACAGCGCAATCAAACAGCGCAGAGGGGAGCCCAGGTCTGTAACATTTCAACGGTAACTGAGAGCTGCTGATTACTAATTGTAATTGGCACCGTCCGATCTTAGCTTCCTGAAACAGAAAGGCTGGCTGTGGGGGAGCATACGAATGACCAAAGAGTTCGACAATATTTAGAAATGATCCCGAAACGAGCGTAGGTACAGGAGTAGGAAAGAAAAGCTTCTCAAATCATTGGCCGGGGTAACTTAAAAAGAAGCTGAGCGTTTCTGTTCTCAGCTATACTTTAAGTGGAAATGAAGTCGAACACCGTCGTCGATGGCGGATGAGTCGCCAGAGAAAGATGCTGAGAGAACCTTATTTTCATTATTTCTTATCATTACTTACCCGCTTTGTCCTTACCTATTACAGAATTTCGCTTCAAACGGATTTGTATACTCACCTGATTCAAGAAACTGTACTTCTCCTGTTTAGCTATCGCTGAGAACGGCTGCATTGAGCAGTCACAGTTGAGAGGATTTCCGGAGATGTCCAGTGTGCTCAGCGACTCCAGAGAATCCCACAGTGTTGTAGGGAACTTAAAAAAACGAACAGATAAGCCTGTGAACTGAGCGCTTGCACTCGAACTGGAATAGATTGTTCTGTGTAGATTTGGGATAACAAAGCTGTCACGGAAATTTCTCACTACTGTTCCATGAATAGCTACTTTAAGCTCAAGGGAGTTGCAGTTTCCTACATGATCAGATTAGAGTTGCTACTCCTTATTTGATAAATAACTATTTAGTACGTACCACGGTGAAGTGATTTCCGCTCAGATCGAGCGCCTCGAGTGATCGAAGGCAGTTCGGCGCCACTTCGAAGTAGCTCAGATTGTTGTTGGAAAGATCGAGCCGACGAAGGCCGAGCACCTGCAATCGAACAGTTTGGAACATCGTGTCACTGCACACATCTCTGCCTACCAGGCGTCCTATTTCTGCCTCGAGTAAGACTATGGGCTCGGGCAAACAAATGACGCTGTCGCCGCTTTTGGAACGGACGCAATTTGAGACCAATGGAAGGGAAGGGCAAACAACGCTACCCTCTTTGTTTCTGTGTTGCATTCCTTAATTGTCGGGAAAAAGGGATGGAGGTTTCAACAGGTGGGGATGAACGCTCTTCAAGAACCGATGCTCCTTTTCTGGGGCCTAACAAGAGGTTATGGGTGGTGCTGGTACAGTTATAAATGGCGCATTATCACACATTCTGGTCACGGGTTCAAATCCGGGTTTGATATCCCCTAGTCAACCAAGCCTTCCATCCCTCGGGGGTGGGTTAATTAGCAAGAGTCGTCTGGGAAGATAAAAGCAATGACTTGTTCATTGGCTGGTCACCGCAATTCATTGCATAGGCCACATATGCATTCAATACAACGATTCTGAATGGGAATCGGATGGTGCATCCCTAAAACGAGATTGATTAACGCCCCAAGACTTTATTCTTGATCCTTAATCCTCTTGCAGGTGATAACACCACTGAAGGTCTGAGATTTAAAGGTGGCCGTTGTAACTCGGCTTACCGGCGCGCTTGTTTATATTTTTTTTGTTGCTTTGTCGGTCTATCTGTCAGCCTATAAGACTTGTCTTAATTTTGAGAGGGAGAGTTATTTAGTAAGTCCTCTCTCATGTGAGATGCTAACAGTAAAAAGGGAGCTAAGGGAAATCAGACAGCCCTCATTGTTGTGACGATGGCGATAACGTTAATACCCCACAGATTATAATATACATAGGTGTATATTTCGAACCAATAAATCTGATCAATATCGATTTATAGGGAGTGATCAGGTAATCATAACCTAGATCTGCAAAAGATCAATCAAATTGGTTGGTAATACAGGTGGAGGTGGGAGAACTTCAGCACTGTGATATCATTTGATACTATACTCACCTAAAGACCTTTTGCCTACCTATCCTGACCCGAATCTGCTTGGGAACCCTGATATATAAAGTTCAGCAACGTTTACTAATTCGAGCTACAGGAGTGAGAACGACTTGTTTACCAGAGAACCGGGAGAGAACCGGTGTTATGCTTAAATGAACTCAACCTACCTTGCAAAAGGTATCCTTATAGAGTTTTCCTATTTGATTGTTGGCGAGCTTCAACTCGGCCAGTTCAACGAAGCCTCGTTTCTCGGTCTCAAAGAGTATTGAGATCAAGTCAGCCTTCGAGGCTGCCGATCGTCTACCGAGGGCTCCGGTCATGTCTAGAACTCGCAACCTGCAACGGATTGATTTAGGATCCGTCACTTTCAGAGAGACTTTCCCACCTTTGCATTGGTTCAAAGGCATAACGTCCAGCTTGTCTGATGTCGTTATCATTAAGGTAGAGGAATTGAACTGCCGGTGCTCCCTTGAAGGTATCCGAAGAGATCTTCGTTATGCCGTTACCCGTTAGGTTGAGCAGTGACAGACTTGAATGGACTTCCCCTGTAAATAGTAGAGCTGGGTTCAGTTCCACCAGGATAAGGAACAAAGCAATAGGAGGTACCTTACCTTCCGTAAAAAGCCCATCCGAAATATCTCCGAAGCTGTTACCTGTCATAGTCAAGGTGTCCATGTGGGGAAAGGCTCTCTCGTGAATCTGAACATCTTCTGTTGCAAATTCTTCTTCAAGAAAACGCAAAATATGTAGTATGAACAGCATTATAACAGCGTACAAAAACGCATTGGGCACTCGAATAAAGGTTCTATTCGGGAGCTGCGACCACCCGACTCCCAATTCTACCAACATGCTCACCCCAGCAGGTATACCTGGCGAACATATATCGTTGAATACTTTCCAAAGACACACCAAACAGCCAAACTCTCACCGAGTGCTTTTCATCAAGTCA